AACTTCACCGGGTTAGGGGAGCGTTGGGCTGTTACCTCGCTCTGTGCCGCTGTGTGGGTGTCACAAAACCGCCGGGGGCCGTGGTCGGGTGCTCGGTTTCGTCCGGTTCACCGGCAGAATAATTCTTCGGAAAAAGGAAATATGTGGAGTAGAAGCATCAGTGAAATTACGGCCAAAGCGCGATGTGTTTTGGGTTTCTTCCTGTGGCAGAGCGTCTGGGGGGTTATCAAGCCTCCAAAATTCTCTGAAATGAGTTTTTCTGCCTACTGTTGCAATAACCTCGACTGAAGCTTGTTTATATCTTTTGAATCGATACACCATGGTATGGAAACTCTTCTTAAAAAAGAAGTTGTAGATTGCGGTATCGATAAGCACCCAATAAAATTATCAATCTTAGAGCAGTGGTTTTACCTAAAATATATCATTTCAGGTCTGTAAAAGGGAATAGGTTTAGTGTTAGAAAGGTGGCTGTGAGAGGTGGTAACATGTAAAAATACAAATCACTTTAAACCATGTTTTGTGAGTTAAGGTTGATTCCAAGTAGGTTTATTGGTAAAGCCTTAAGAAGAATAAGATGTTTATTTATTGGGCTGAGGGAGGCAGACCAAATTTCAGGTATTTGCTTAGAGTATTGGCATTTACTAATGCTTTAATTTGTAAATCAATTGCAAGGACTCATCGGTGTCAGTGGCCTGTCCCAAACTGTCAAGACCTGGAGTTTCCGTGCAGCTGTTGGGTGCTGTTATAACTCTTGAAATCGTGTTAGAGGATTGTGACACTTTGCACCTGCCTTGCAGCAGAGATTATTCGGCAGCATTTACTAGACTGAAAGTGAAGTTCAGAGATGGAGGTGGTTGTTTGGTCCTTTCACACCAACTTGCATTTTTTCTAAGTTGCTAATTTTTGAGACAGTGCTGGATATATCAGGAGGGGGGATTGTTTGGCAAGGAGTTTGGTTCTGGATTTTGGTTTTTGCTTGATGTAGCATGTTGTAACCATGGCTCTTAACGTTATTTTTCTTTGCCTAGACCATGACAAAATGTTTAAGATGAGCGAAAAGATCTTACTCCTGTGCGTCGGGGAGGCTGGAGACACTGTGCAGTTTGCAGAATACATCCAGAAAAACGTTCAGCTCTACAAAATGAGAAATGGTGAGCGAAGGGGAACAGTTACTCACGGAGAGTTTGGAAGCAGAGTTACAGTTTACAGTTGGGTGTTGGTGGGAAGTGCTGTTCTCAGAGCTTCTCTTTGTCCTTGTAGCTTTCAGAACAGGCTGAGATTAGACAAATGGCATAACATTTTGTCACAAAAGATCTCATTATTTCAAATCAGGATGGGAAAGTCAGGAAGCGAAACGTGGATGTGGGTTTGTGCTGTTGTCAAATACAAACATTTCTTCTCCAGGTTATGAATTGTCTCCTACTGCAGCTGCAAACTTTACACGACGAAACCTGGCTGACTACCTTCGGAGTCGAGTGAGTAACGGCTGAAAGACTTTGGCAACGGGTTATGGGGAAAATTCCCATTTGCAAGTAATGGAGTCTGATGAAAAAAGGCGGCAGCTTCTGTCTCTAGTGGTGAATTCGCTTTGCTAAAAGGATGTTTTCTTAAAATATAACTCAGTTTGCTTATTTAAAGAGTTTGCACGTGGCTTATCAATTTATCGCCTATCAATAACTGGTACGACTGTAGTTTTAAAATTCCAGCAACCCAGTAAACATTTTGTCACAAACACCGCAGCCGGCAAAGTGAATTAAGCCGCTTTAACATAAAGATAAGGTTGTTGGTTTCCATGCAAATGCTCTGAATCCGTTTAATCTTCTTGGAAAATGATTTAATTGAGCAAAGGCGTTTGATGTACTTAGCAAAACAAGCCCCTTTTGTAAACCGCAGCATGAGGCTTTCAGTAAATACCAAATCCGAGCTGGAGCTGTATTTTCAAGTTACTAAACTGCAATTACTGATCTTTTTCATGGTGATTTTTTCAAAGTATGAGGAGATGTCGTGAAGGGGCACACAGACTTGTAAAGATCCAGGGCTGGGAAGCATTTCGTTAGCGTTCTTCTCAATGTGCTGTATGACAGAAAACAAAAAAAATGGGGTGTTGAGGAAGAAGTTGAAGAACTCTGTCGGAGCAGGGCTAGGGAGAGCTGCTCTCTTGCAGGACACCGAACGTCCTGCCCACTTGAGCAGAGGCAGCTGTTTCTCACGTACGATTTCAAGCTCCTTGAGCAGGAGGGGTTTAACTGGCTCCTCGGTCTCCATCATCTTCCTCCGCACCCTCTCCCTTGAGGCCTGATCCCCGCCGTGTGTCCCCTCCTGCCGGAGCCCACGCCTGCCTTCCGGCTCACCTGCTCCAGATGGGCAGCACAGTGGGGAGGACACTGGCAAAGGCAGATGTCTTTATTTACCGGAGACAAAACGTCGTGCTGTTGCAGATGGCGATGCCCTGGAGCGCGCGGCGCACTCTGACATGGCTGTCACACTACAGCGATCTCCGTGCTGCAGGCAGAGCTCTTCTGCTTTAAACATAGGGCTGATGATTTGGGGGGGGTGGAGGGTTTGATGGCACAAACGTTGCTGTCGGAATGTTTTCTCCCATGGATTTCGTTACGTTTTGGTCGCAGTTTGCGGGGTACCAGAAGGATTAACGCTAGCTCTCTGTGTCTGTTTCCATTGCTTATAGAATTCCTGGAGGTTACTAATTTAACTGTGTGGATGATAAATATAAAAATGGAAAAGTAACACGTGCCACCGCCTCCTGTCAGGAGCAGGAAAATAGTTTGGAAGTAAAAAGCTTGGTGAGGGAAGAGGGAAGAGGTGGTTTGCGGCTGCGTTGCCAGGGGCAGCACGGAGCTGCTCCTGTCAGGGAGGGCTGGAAGGTGCGATGGGGAGCGGCCGACGCCACAACAGTTGTTTTCCAGGCGTGGTGCTGCTGTCATGGGCCAGCCCCAAATGGGTTGTTCTCTGTTACCTAGTGTGATGTAATTTCTGAACCTTGTGGCTTCTGGGGTCCCAGTTCCTGGTACCCTGGGGGTGCCTGTCCTGCGAGGCGTTGCCTCGACCTTGTTCTTCTGATGGAAAGTATCGACTGTAACGACACCAGGCTCATAACTTAAGCCATTACATTACTGGGCTCTTTTCTTTTACCGAATAGCCCATGTGTGGCTTTTCCTAACGCTTTTCATCTTAAAACACGGGGTTTATGCTCCAGGGTAGGATCTGAAAAGAATCTTTATTGGTTTGCTTTTATATGTTGCAACTGAGGCAAACTTCAAAGCTGCTTTGGAGCCGCCTGGCTCTCCTCTAGGTGGGTGCTGCTGCAGTTCCTCTTCTGCTGGTGGCTGCTCCGGCGTCTCACTCGATGCTGAGCTGAGTGCTGTGTTCAGTACCTTGAACCTGCTGCTGAGCCGGTGGGGAAGAGGGAAAACAAACCCCTGCCCCTCCAAACGTCCTCAAGTTCAGGTTGTTGTCGCGGTGCTGCGGTTAATTCCAGGTGGCAGGCTCTGGCCCGAGTCCAGGGGAGGCCTGTGAGTTCCTCTCGCCCTGCCCGCGCCTGGCGGGATGCTTCCTCGCGCCCACCTTTCCTCCTCGCTGTGACTTTGGCTTCCGCCAGATGTCACGGCTGCCTCCCGCCGCCGATCGCCGTGTTTTAACGCGCTTTATTGCAACTGTTCCCCTCAGCTCTAAAGGCTGAAGAATTTCACGCGTCTCTTAATTGCTGCAGTTATTTTAAATCAAACAGCACGAAGCGCAAAGCTGCTTGGGATGAGAAATGTTGCCTCTCATAGGAAGGAGAGGTTGGAAAAAGAAAATCCAGTCTGTCCTGGAGCATCAGTCAGCCGCTCCTTGGTAGCCCTTTGGTCACCACAGTCTTCTGAAGAGTTTAGAGCTGTCGGCAAGGATTTAGCTACAAAAGTGAAGGCTGCCCCTGGAATGGACAAAAGGCCGGAGATGCACGAGGAACACCATTCCCACTAAGGCAGTGCTAAGAGGTGCTGTCTGCACGTTTCGTTTGTGATCGTGGAAGTGGTGAATAGATTATGTGTCTTTTCTAAATCCTGCCTTTCTGCGATGATAGAAAGGCGTGGAGGACACTTGGTTTACGTTTGAGTTTTAAGAAGTCGTCTCCCAGACCGTTGGTGGGAGAACTTACAACTGAAAAACGGCTTGCAGAATTGTTTAAGTAACACCGTTTATGGTTGAGTATCTCGCATATGTCAGTGCTGGTAATTCAAAGTCACAGGATAATTTGAGTGATCTTGTGTCATGGCTCTTAAATATCAACTTCTGTGATGCTTCAGAAGAATTAAATGATGAAGTACAGACTAATTAAACCAATACAGCTGCATGGTGACTTGTTTCCAGATATTCTTGAATGCTTTGAAGATTAGATCACACAATTTACAGTGATATGTTTAAATAACTGTAGCCTGCTTTATTCTTTCTTACTGTGTGGGGAAAGTAAAAATCTAGTACCCTGTGTGGTGGGGTTTTTTTTGAGTGCAAATTCACCATGCTTAGTATTGAAATTTTTTTCTTATTATAAAGCTAATGTTTTGGCTTTAGGGTGAAATTGTGTTTGCTTTTTCTCTATTGTTAGCTGCGCCATGATTTTGTTCTTGTTTTGTTGCTTTGTTGATCTAGGCTTTCCAGCATTTTAAGAGATATCCTGTTGGTATGACTAATCTAATAAGAAACATTAGGTAAATAAGAGAAAACTGGAAGTGTATAAAAGCTGTTTTAAAAAATGTATACAATTCCACAGTCGTCTTCTGAGCCTACGTTTGAAAATAATGCACTGCATACATGTTTCTTGAGCTTATAAAATACACATCTTAATACACCGATTCCTTTAGGTCTTCATTCACTTGCTCAGGTTGGCCTAACACTCAAAATTCAGCTTGGTACATGCAGTAAAAGTCTAACTGGGAGTTAATAAGGCGGCGTAACGCCGTGCGTAGCTGGTGCCCTAGATGGGAGCTTTCACAGTGCTGGAATGGGCTGTGGTTAGTGGCGGCACTAAGAAAGGAGCCTGCTCAATTAACAAAGGAGTTCTTAGAAACTGCAGAATGTTCCCATTGTGCTCACGTGTTGGCAGTAAAAATCCACAAGTTTTACTTTGAGATGAAAGAATCTGGTGTGAAAACATAATTACAGTTTTCTTAAGTTTGTGCCGTGAAAGGTGTTTTTTTTTAAAAAAAAAAAACCAAACCCAAAGCCACACACTAGTTTTCAGGAGAATCAGGGCTTTATGGTTTTATTTGCTTACACATCCCTTATCACCAGAAAGACCGAATGGTTCTGAGATTGAGACCCATCTTCCCCTGCAGCCAGCTGGCAGCGCTTCTTGGCAAAGGACTGCGAAACAGTGTCGTCACTCTGCCATAGGTGGCGTGGGGAGTTCATATTCCAAGGTTTGGGGGTGGCTGCTCTAACGTGACGTGGTTTCTGTTTGCAGACCCCTTACCACGTCAACCTGCTCCTGGCTGGCTACGACGACCACGACGGCCCGGCCCTGTACTACATGGATTACCTCGCGGCGCTGGCGAAAGCTCCGTTTGCAGCACATGGCTACGGCGCGTTCCTCACCCTCAGCATCCTGGACCGCTACTACAAGCCGGGTAGGTGCAGTCGGTGGCGAGGAAAATTCTCCTGTTACCAATAAATAAATTCAAGGCTTAAACCGAGAGACCAGCATTCGCTGAGTCAGGTGGCCCAGCACGATTGCTGTCATGCTGCAGATCTGAATTTGACTTTTTGTTAGAATAAACGTAGCTTTAAAGGCTGCCTTCTGGTTTTGCTGAAATGGTAACGTGAAACTAGTCAACTCCTTAAAGTGTTTTCCTGTTTGAAGCATGACAGACTGTAAGTGAAGGAAATTTCAATTTATTCTAAAACTCGACTGGAGTTTCCTGGACCATTAGCTTGTAGCAGTCTGTTTTTAATAAATAACATTTTGATAACTTTATCTTCTATTTTCTTGTCCGTTGGCTACGACCTGTACACTTTCCCAAAGTACCAATCTTCAGAGGGCGGTCCCAGACCCTGCTGCTCTATTTCTGGGGTTGGCTTTGTGTGTGATATATTGAAAACATGCAAGTGAAAAGATCCTCCTGGCGAGGTTGTTGTCGGTGCTCTGAAGCGGCGGTGATGGAGATCGGTTGGTTTGGTGTACAGGTTAATGCACCTGGTAGCTGTTAATTGTAATCTTGTACGTGCCTGTACCTGTCTAAAGTTTTAATTTTAGAATCGTGATCCAGTTCTTGTGCTGCCAAGGAGTGAACTGGCCCTGTCCCTGCTTTACAGGTGGGAAGATGTGCAAAGCCTGGGATACTGTTAATCTGCCACCTTTTGGCTCTAGCTGCAAAACTACTCCTGTGTGCGAAGCTGTTTCATCTCCTAGCAGAGATTTTTGCTTAATAAACCTTTCATCTACCTCCTGTGAGAAATGTCGCTCTAAACCAGCAATTTTATTGCAGAGGCTCTTCTGCCTGAGCAGAGGATGCAGGTCTCGAGCAAACTGTAGGAACAACTTTTGTGAGATTCACAGAGCTTAGGTGTTTCCTAGTCATGTCCCTTGCAAACCGCACTGCTCCGTTTTCACCGTTCCTTGTGAAAAAAGAAGTGAGCTACCACAGGTTGTCACGGCTCGTCATCCCCACGGGCTGCTGGGTTTTATCCTAATGTGGGAGAATAGCAGGGGCACCGCACACGTGCCTTTCCCATTATTAAAGCTAATACCCAGCAGGGAACGTAGCGCTAAAACTGATCTCCGCCTACTGTCACCGGCTCGCAGCCGGCTGCAGACAGATGGAGCTGATTTAAAACTGTAATAAACTCGAGGGGAGAGAGCGAGGCGGCCGGACTTCTCCGAAACCTGGTCCCTGGCCATGGGAGGCAAAATTCCGTCATGCTTCCCATTCCGTGTAACAAATCGATTCTCAATGGCTTGTTGCAGCGTGAGCGCTTCAGTGCGGGGCGTCCTGGGTACATCTGGAAAGTGTTTGCTGTGAGCTGGGAAGGGGAGGTTTTGGTGCTCAGCTGAAAAGTTGTTTAAATTTAATAAAGTTCCTGTTAAGAGAGATGGCCTCTAATTAAATCAATCTGTGGATGTTTTTCTCTTTCAGGTATCACACGTGAGGAAGCTATGGAGCTCCTAAAAAAATGTCTAGAGGAGGTGAGTTGCCAAACTTAGGTCTTGAGAAAGGAATGTTTGTTTGCATTCATTTGCTGATATTTTCCTCTTCCTCTTGGAGCCTTTTCTTTTTTTTTTTTTGCTGTCTTTGCCAGAAGGGGTAATAAATGCACATTGACCAGATGTGGAATAGCTACTGAGGAGAAGGATTTGTGGGCACTTGCGTTGTCTTAGCATGGTTCATGTCCTCCAGAACGTAAACTTGAAGCTTAATTGCTTTTCTTTACTTCTACTTCTTCCACGCTTAGCATAATATTGATACAGACAGTCTTTGACTCGCTGCTTTTATGTTTCTTCTGAACATACTGCAGGCATCCTTCTGTTACTTGTGTTACACTTAACTGGTACCTACTCCTGAGTGTACTTTTCTTCCGTCTAACTGGGGCGAAGATTTAACCTTAGAAGTTCATGATCGGTTTAGGGTAGACATAACCTTTAAGACTCCAAGGCGTTTGTCGTAGGAAAATAGTCTTTATCCTTGTCTTTAAGAGATTCAGTTGAATGGGAAGAAACAGCTGGGGAAGCATCAGGAAGAAGGACTTCAAAGAAGTTCTGTTTGAAGTATCTTTTTGATACGTGCCCATCGTGCCCGAAGTTGTAGCTTGCTTCCTATCCTTGTTAACGGGCTTGTGTATTTTGCATCTCCAGCCTCGCCTTGTCGAACACAGATAGTCTTAAACAGAGCAAATTTGCACTAATTGGTTCCTGAGCAGTGAAAAAAAAAACAAACCTCACCACAGTCTAATCATATTTCTGGTCACTAGAACCAGGATGGAAAGTTGAATGTGCAGCAGCACATCCCTTAAGTTATGCTCTCCTCTTGTATTTAAGCTTTGGATGAATTTCATCTCTCTTGTCTTTTTCTCTTTGTTGAACAGCTTCAGAAGCGGTTCATCCTAAATCTGGCTTCTTTCAACGCCCGGTTCATTGACAAGGATGGCATCCACGAAGTGAAAAATATACCCCTTGCAAAAGCGGCGTCCTAACCCCCGAGATCTTTCTTCAGCAGTCTTGTTTTTGTTCACTTTTGGTTTTTTCTATTCGTTTGAAGCACGCGAGTCATGTACTGCACTGGGAGATTGAATAAAGATTGACATTTATATAGCCAATTCTATCTTTTTATTCCACTGATCCTTCCTGAGAGTATTTAAGTAAATTATTTCACAACGAAGGTGAAACTTGATTTTCTGTTAATGGGTGCACGTTCAGGTTACTTATTTTGCCTTCCTCCTCTGAGATTTTTCAAGTAGAATGGATTTTAAAGTGCTAGTGTCAAGTCACCTGGCCACGGTTCTGTTTCTGGGGGAGAATATTTGCCTGCTGGCAGAATGGGCTCATAACTATGTTAGTTTTAAACATAAACTGATGTATCACTTGTGTGATTTTTCTTAACTCCTGTCTGTATGTATAAAAGTACATGAAAGCAGTTCAATGTGAAGGAAACTGCAGCACTTCTCATAAATCTTTGAATTACTCTCCTCTAGCTAGAGCTTTGTTTCTGTGAGAATAATCAGGGAGCTGTCTAGGCTCTGGATGAGGCTTCGTATAAAACCTCCATTCACAGAGCAGCCTGAGATAATTAGCCGTGGCTGATACTTGAAGTCTGCCCCAAAGTGATTCTTCTGATTTTCATTGAGACCAGTTCCCTCCTTGGATTTGCGTTGAATGAGTTAACCATTTCAAGTGCTCTGCTTGGGTGCTTGTTTTGTGTTTAATAAACTTGGGAAAAAACCTCAGCAGCAGAAGGATGGATGGATGCGTACAGGATCAGGCGCAGGCTGCGTTACTGGTGTGCTGTGGCCTAACACCCCAGTTCTCGAGTGGGAAAGGTAAGGGACAGACCTAACTGTCTTTATTTGTCAAAGCTTGCTTGCTTTTTTTTTTTTTCTTTTTTTTTGGGGGTTTCTCTGTGAATGTTAGTCCCTTCCCCCAAAAGTTGTCAGTCTTAAAGACCAAGTATTCCCATCTTCCTGAGCAGATGAGGGCTGGATGAGAGACCAAGACTTACCTCCCGTCACAGAATAAGGTTGCAGCTCCAATACCTTAACTCCTCCTGCTTCTTGAGACTGCCCTTACTTCAACTCGATTCCTGACTGAAGTCCCATCAGGCTCTGTAGTTTAATTCTCTCCAGAATGAGTTTAATTATCAACTGGTTTAGCTGTAGTCACGGCTGCAATGGCTTTTATTTAAGGCCAATGGCGTGTTACTCTCTGGAACGTTTTGCTACAATTTGCTTTGTCTTTTAAAAACCTTTTCAAACTTTGTTACATGGAGAAAAGAAGTCCCCAGCCTGATTATTTTCTCTTGGCGGGTCACACTTGACATGAGTAGAGTCTGAGTGTTCTAGTTCTCCGATTGAAATCTCACCCCTTCATGTTGCATTAATGTATTTGCTTAGCTTAATGTGCAGCATCTCTAATTTATTTTACCGCTGATGCTGACTGTTTTTGCAGGTTTCTTGTCTCTCTTTTCGAAGTCGTCGTTGCAGAGTGGCTGAGCTGATGTGATACTTTTGTCACTGCATATCAAAGTCGCGATGCCTCCTCGCTGGAGGTAGTCATTATTCCCGACACCGAGCCCGGGCTCTGCTGCTGTTAGATGATGTGAATCTGCGGAGAATCTGCCTGGAGTTTTTACTGGCACCTATTTGCATGCAGGTGATTAATAAACATAAAACAATTAATGCCTTGCAGACACCCTCGTTGGATTCAGGTTGGAGTGGAACATATGTTTTGCCTGAGGGCAGGGCCCAGGATCTGAATCCCCCGTTGAGGGAAGGATAGAAGGGGTTGCAGCAGGAGCCAGCAGAGCAGCAACCCCTAGGAATGAATAAATACAGACCTTTATTTCAAACCAGCAGAACAAAAGAATTGGCCCATAGGGAGGTTGGGCTGTAGCTTCTGAGGAAGTAGATTCTTTTGAGGACTTTCCAAGAATTTACACTTTTTGAGGAGAGTTGTGATACTTTTGCTGTATAACTTCGGATTGTTTTAAAGGTCTACGGTGCTGATCTTTAGAAACACTCAACTTTCTCTTTTGTCAGTAATATATGGAATGTGTTCGAAAACACAAGGGGTTAACTTTTGCATTCATGTTAGGGAGAAGAAAACTTCCTACCTGCTTCAAGTTTAGCCTTAAAGCTTTTGGAAACTGTATTTTGCCTAGATTCCAGGAAACCCTTTTGAAAATAATTCACCTTTCGGTTTGAAAAGCATCTCTATCTCTCATGACAGGCCTCTCTTTCATAGAGATTTCTGACAGAATGGAGCACAGCAAGGAGATACTGCTTTCTGCTAGTAAGATTTTTAGTTCTTCATATTATAAAAAATTAATGCTGTAAACCAAGGTAACATAATCCTACGGCATCGTAGCCTCGGCGAGCTGTTCTGCTTTGCTTCGGCACGTAATTCTGACCATATGTTTTACCACCAAAGCCTCAGGGCCTAAAGAGTTAACAAGACGCTTTTTCTTGGTTTAGGTTTCCTATTTAAGAATGGTCTCTTCCCGAGCATCCTGGTGTAACAGATCCTTGCACCAACTCGTCTGTTCAAGGGCTTGGAGTGGGCTCCGAGGTGGGTGTGCAAGGGGACGGAGCCTCTGTGCCTCAGGCCACTGCTGGAGGAATGTGTGAGTGTAGGTGCAGTGCTCGGAGGTCTTTTTCTTGGCGTTAATTATACCTTTTCATGGAAGAAAATCCGTGATTTGTGGTAGATCTGCCTGGCACAACTGTATTTAGCGTAAGGTCGTAGTGTTGTCAGCCCTAAAAGCTGCTAAAAGACAAGTCGAAATCATCTTGAGTGGTGAAGAGCCTCATCCCCACGTGGGCTGGCAAGTAAGAGTCGAGCAAGGATGTGCAATTAAAAATTGAAATGGCTAAAAGGTAAAAACTACCTCCCCTGTTGCCTTTATGTGGGACGGCGTAGTGGTGGGGGAGAGCACCCCGAGCTGATTCACCTCCACCTTTCCCAAGATTTCTCCAGTCCAAGAAATCCGTGACTGCGCTCAGTTAGGGAAACCAGGAGATGCTTCAGGCACAGGTGGGTGAAAAGCCTTGGGCAGGGACAGCTATTTCTGTGTAAACCGGAGTGCCCGTGGCAGGTGTGCTTGTGCTGGTGTAGAGACTACCCGGCGAGGGAATCGTGGCAGATGTGGAAATGGAGCGTGCTTGGAGCAATCCTACAGAGGATTCTCAGCAGTCCGAGTCAGGCTTCTGTTCGTGGCGAGATGATGACACAGTCGCTGGCAGAAACTGTTTGCAACAGACTGGGGCTGTCACTCTTCAGAGTGAAGATGGGGGAGCAGGGGCAGAGATCAGGCCAAGCTCTCCCAAGGATGTGTTTTCATTTGCTCTTGTCTCTAGTTTTGACAGTGGGTTCCTACAAGAAGTATTGGCCGGTGCCAGGGCTGACATTAGGGATTATGGTCAGAGCGCTTGGGGTTTGGTTGATTCCATGTTCCTATCTGAAGCAGGGAGAGAGTGTTCCTTTTGTGTGAAATAGCTTGACATCTAAGGAAGGAAACACCTCAGACTTCGCTACCTGTGTCGTAACGCACGTATTGTGCGTGAGGAAAAAAGAAATTTATCCTACCTATAAAAAGTTTGTCCTTCAAGCCGGTTTTAATTCTCTTTCTTTAAAGGTTTAACCTTATACAGAGTTTCCATGTGGTGTTGTCAGTCTGCCATCAACAGTAATTAAGTGCAGGAAATTTTCATGTGAGCACGGATCAAACTAAACAGACTTAAGTTGTTTTAAGATTTTAAAAAAAAAGCAAAATAGGAATGGTGGAATTAACATATGCAACTTCTCTATTTTCCGTGCTCTTGACTATGTTGATTTAAATCTCTGTGTACTCCTGATGTGCTGAGAACTGTCTTAAAAAAATAAGTTAGTTGTCTCAAAAATGTGAAGTGACAGATTAAGTGTTTTGTTTCTGGGCTAATGTGCAATTAGGTAGTTATCCAATAAGCTTATTCGTGTAGTCTAACTCAAGACAGCTGTGGAGGGAATAGAGAAAACCCTTTACTGTTATGGAATGGCAAGAGGATGTTTCAAAGGATCTGTTTAGAATTGCAAATACGTGATATTTTCCCCCCATGTAATATAGTAACGCATTAAAGGTTAGCAAGATTTGTGAAAAAATAAATTCTGCTGATCAATAAAATGCAGATAGATCCGAATACTAGCAAATGCAGTTAAGTTTGGGTCTATAAATTCTCTCTAAGGCACCCACACAAGGTGGGGCCAACCTAATAATCTAATTGTTGGGTAAGTGTATTTTGATTTGGGTAAAGAACCCTTTGCTCAGTAGAGGCTTCCTTGGCGCAGTCAAATATTCCTGGCATTTACGCACAAACCTGAGCACAGCGCGTTTCCTGCAGCTGACTTACAGGAGACAAAGGAGGCTCCGTCCCATTCTGTGTCTGTGGAGAAAACCTGGGCACCTCCGGCCTCTTCCCTCGGCAGAGGGCACTGATCCTGCTCGAGCTGCCGCCTCCCCGCAGGCTCGATTGGCCTCTCGGTCTCGGCGCAGATCATCTCATGTCTTGGGAACTCGGTGTCGGGAGATCGGGTCAGGGCCATGTCCAGCAGACGGGATGCACAAGGTTCTTTCTTCCCTTGGAACATGCACATTTTATTTTTCACAAGTGTTGGACAGGTAATTACCCATGTTTTCACAAGTGACTTGCCAAAATGACCAGAAAAAGTAGCCATTAGATCACCCTCTGGTTTTCTTTTTTTAAATGGAACTTTCTTGAAACTTCTGTGACTGGCAAGACCAAGTACAGGGTATAAAAGGATCTCCAGGGTTTACTTATTTCGTATTTTCTCTCATTTAAAGTTATAAGGCTCAAACCTGTTTTCTCTTTTTATTCTGTATAATCATCCTTAATATCACGTGGCTCCGAGTGGGCACCATCAAGAAGAAAACAATTAAAACTGGGCTCTAATTTCATTTGTCTTGCACAATTCTCTCAAAGCACACGAGAAACCTGTCCCCATCGTCGCACTTGGGGCTTTGTCTGGTACATCTGAGATTCCTACGCTTGGGTATTAGTGTTTACCTTCATGTTTACTGCCCGTGCTTTGATGAGCCATCAGGAAGGCT